GTGTGTCTGTGACCATTTCTGGCTATTTAACCCGGACTCTGTAGACTTGGGAGACTGCTCTCCCCAGTGTGTGTGGGCCTCTTCCAATCTAGTAGAAAAGGTTGGAAATTTTTCTCTCTGTTGGCTGTCTCTGAACTGGGGTATCTGTTTGTCTCAGGCATCTAGGTCAGACTCAGATGCAAGTGTACAGAGTTAGCTCTCCTGGGTCTCTGAATTGTCAACTGCAGATCTTGGGACATGCCAGATTCTTTAATGACATGAGCTACTCTTCTATTGACCCCCCCCCCCTCTCTCTCTCTCTCTCACACACACACACACACACACACACACAGAAATGGAAATGCTGCCTGTAATAGCTGTGCCTCAGTGGTAAGCACTTGCCTAGTATGCATGAGGCCCCAAGTTTAATCCCCACTACTGAGGGAAAAGAAAGGCAAAGAACAGTCCTTTACAGTCTGAGGATGACTTCTGTAACTGGTGAAGAACAGTGTGGTGGGTCTGTTTACACTTCTGGTGCCGTAGAAATAAAATATGTGCGTGGTGTTGCAATGCCACTAGGTGACAGAAATCTTTACTTTCCTCAGACACCACTGTATAAGCCAGGCTGGCCTTGAAGCTGGCTCACCTCAAACTCATGACACTGCCTCAGCCTCTCCACTAAAATCTGCTGTCACCATCTAGTTTGCCTCTGACAGAAGGCCAGTGTGCAATGCACGGCTGTACACATTGGTTCTGTTTCTCTCGAGAATGCTGACTGATTCACTCTCCCTACAGCCTGTGCACTCTGGCTCCGAATTCAAGTCAGAGCCCTTGGGCAACAGAAAGGAAATTGTCCATGTATGGGTGACCAGGCCATTAAGTCTTAACCAGCCCAGGGTAGTATACCCCAGAGCAGAACAACCCTGATTTCTTCCTCCCCCATTTTGAGTGGCAAGGATGCTTGCCTTACCAGGAAGAAGCCAGACTGGGGGGGTGGAGGAGAATCTCCGGGAGCTGAGTGATGCTAGGGACTCCAAAGGTCTTGAAGGTACCCCCCAGTCACCCCCAGCCCCCACCAATCTGTCTGAAGCGGGGTGGGGGTGGGCTCCAGAAATGTCCTAGCTACCTGCAGGCTCTCCTCGGCACCCAGATGTTCAGAGCCGTCTGAATGCTGCTTCTACTCAGCGCCTCTCTAATAAACAGGTGTTGGGAGAAGAAGAGCAGTAATTAAGTTAATGCAGTGGAGAAAAGAAAGGAAAATGGTTTTTATCAGTCGATGTCACACGATCAAGACTTCTAATAAAGATGGAGTGGGATAGAAAAATACGGAGAATGGTCCCTCGTAGAGCTGAACCAATTAATCAGTATTCATTACACACTGGATTTTTAAAAATGCCCTCATATGTGTCCCTTACCGGAGGGCTTTAGGAAGGACTTGGCAGTGCACGCTCTTCTTTCATGGCCTGCTGTCCTTTGGTCATACCGTTTAGAAGCATGGACTCCCAAGGGCAAGGTGGGAGATAATTCGCCCCAGCTTAACTGCATGAGCCCCACATGAAATCCTGTATTAACAAATAACTTGTTTTTTTTTTTTTAAATTATGTGTGTCATCTATGCTTTCACATTGCAGTGATGGGTGTTTACCTCGGTGGTTTCTAACATGTAACACTTTCTGTTCTATTCAGAAACACAAGTATAACCACTTTTCAAATTCTTTGTTCTTAGATAAAAAGGAAATTGATCTTTATCTGGTTTCCATTCTGCTTTTTTTAAACCCAGCAAATGCTGCTTCCGGGAGTGGGTGGTAGAGATGTGATGTTTCCATGGCTTCTTTCATTTTCTCCCATGGAGGAAGTTTCTGGAATGCTGCTGCTGCTGTTGCTGTTGCTGCTGCTGTTGCTGCTGCTGCTGTTGCTGCTGCTGCTGCTGCTGCTGCTGCTGCTGCTGCTGGCCCTGTCTTACCTCTACCTGAATCATAAACTTTAGAAGTCTATGATACAAAAACCAGGGAAAAGAAATAAACGTGCCTCAAGATTTAAAGCCAGAAGCATCCACTCGCTTCCGTGCAGGTCCCCAGACTTGCAGAGGTCCGAGTCCACATCTCTTCACATGGCAATAGGGTGGGAGTGGACCCTGGAGGCCACGCTCATCTCCATGTTCACAGGCACCAGGAGCCCTTGCTTTCTGACCCTCGAAGCAAGTTGCATCCTTCGTCCACAGGGAGCCACCTCTCCCCAACAACCCAGCCCAGGGCTGTATGTTTGAGTCAACTAAAATCAGTCACAAGATACCTTGATCTGGTGTCCACATCACAATATACACAGCCCTGCGGTGGTGCCCACAGAGAGCTCATGTCCTGGAAACCCCAACGTCCTATAACTACTACCACAAGTTAAGAGGTATCCTCCAACCTGGGGAGGACGGACATGTTGCTATAACCCGAAGAAGCAAGATGTCAGAGATGACTCCCCAGGGGTAGCCTGGCTATTTTCCCTAATGAATTACTTCAAGCAGTCCATAACTGTTTTGCCTGAGAGCTAGGCTCTGTTGCCCTCCTTGGGACACTGCTGGACAGACAGACAGATGTTTCTGTTCTCATGGAACTCGTACTATAGTCAAGGAGAGAGACGATTATAAAGTGCAGATGTGTGAGGAAGCCAGATGAGCTTCGAGCTGCAGGGAGGAGTGAACCATGGAAAGGAAGGGAAGCTGGGAAAGGAGCAAGGGATGCTGAGGTCGGAGGTCAGAGCCCCTCTTAGGGATGGCTGGTCCCAGGAATGCAGTTCTGGCAGCCATGCTGTGATGTCTAATAGATTCTCATGTCTCCTAGACAAGGGATGGTATTCCCTACTAACTTGACCATGCCAGGCCACCTTACTCAGAGCAGGGATGACAAGAGAAGGGTCGCTTCCCCACTCAGGCGTGCGCTCTGTCTCTCAGCCTCACAGGTAACCTCAGGGTGCCCCTATAGCTGAGGAGATGGCTGAGCCAGGAAAGGCACTTGATGCCGAGTGTGAGGACCCAAGTTCAATCCCTGGGAACCACATGGCAGGAGAGAGCCAACTCCAGGAAGTTGTCCCCTGACTTCCTAGCACATGCATTCTGTGGTGTGCACATTGAACACACATACACACACACACACACACACACACACAGAGAGAGAGAGAGAGAGAGAGAGAGAGAGAGAGAGAGAGAGAGAGAGAGAGAGATCCTCCCCATGTGTACTCCCCCAGTTGCAGGAACTGGGCTACAGAACTAATACGAATGATAAGGATGAAGCAAATGGCAAATGGCCACCCCCCGCCCCAAGTCTGAGGTTCTCCTTGGTGGGGAACGAACGGTACCAGCTGTAAGCAGCAAGGCTCTTTCACAACATGTTACGTTCATGACCAAAGTTGAGCAGGGTGGGGAGTGTCTTAGACAGGTAAAGTGAGAGGTATTCTCATGTTTGAGCTATGCCCTGGGACGGCTGGGAAGGAGATGGTCTGAGGTAGAGGTGGTGGCTGTGTGAAGGTCCTACAGCAGGGGCAGGCGTGCTGCACTGCAGGGATGGGGTAAAGAAGGCAAAGGGCACACGGTGCTGAGGATGAGGATGGGGGTCAGGGGTGAAGCAGGTCAGACTGCAGCAAGGGCCTTTTGGAAGAGCAGTGGGTCTCACAGCAGCACACTCTTAAAACGTCCCTCTGTTATGTTTGGATGTGGACATACCCTACAGTCTTGGGTGTTTTGAACACTTGGTCCCCATAGGGAACCCTGTGGTAATGTTCTGGAAGGCTGCAGAACCTTTGGGACATAGGGCTCAGCTGGCTGACGTGAGAGTGAACCTGCTTCCGGCTGGAGCTCTCTGCTTCCTGCCTGCTTGGGGCGGGGGGAGGGGGAGGACAAGCTCTCCCTGCCATCAGAGATAGGGCTGTCTGCTATGGCGACATCCCTTCCAAGAGGGGCTGTATCCTTTGAACCAGGAGCCAGATCAGGCTTCTCCTTTATATTTAATCTGTCTTGGCACTGGAGAAAGCGACTAGCACGTGACCTTCGGTGACTCCCGAGAAACGTGTTCCAAGTCTGGTGGGGCTGCGGCTATGCTCACTGCACCTTGGCTACTCCTGATGAAGTGGACGCATGTTGCTAGGGCTCCCTGGTGGTGTCAGATTTGGGGCACCAGGTAAGAAACCGGTTGGGGGAGGGTGGCGAGCTCCTCATTCTTTAGATACATACAAGACTAGTATACAGTAGCTGTTTCTGCCCATCCAGGAGCAGAGTTATTGATTCCGAGGGAAATAGAACACAATTATTTTTGAAAATAGATGGCATATTTGTCTATCTTCTGCAGCAGCTCATACTCCAATAGATAAAGTGTCAGGAGAAAAATCAAAGAAAATGGAGGTGTCTATGACTCAGATAGATTTTTTTTTTTAATATTGGCAATACACAAACAACTAGCAGCAAGGCTAAAATGAACAGTTTTTTTAAAAAAATGAAAAGCTGAGGAACAAGGTAGGGTTCTACAAGGATGTCCTCACTGCAAGGAATGAGTGAGCTAAGGCAAGAGAGATGGCCAGGGTGGCCCAGAGGCCATTTCTCTGTTTGTCTGAGCACAAACTTCTCTAGGTTTCTCTTGAGGCAATGCCATGGTGGACTACCTAACCTCCAAGCAATGGAGGAGGACGACTCTACCTGTCCAGCCCCAAGAATGGGCCTGGAATCCATGCTGGGCCAGAGGCCAGTCTGCCTGATCACTTGGGGGAATCTTCTTATAATGGCTGGTTTGTTTATATTTTGCCACTGACATAAAAGCAATGGAGCCATCTGACCATGAACTAAATGCACAAGCCAGAGCAAACCTCTCTCTCTTTAAACTGCTGTGTTCTTGTTATTTGTCACAGCAATGAAACACCCGTGTGACACAGTGTTAGGGACTCACACAGCTGTGGACTTGGGCCAGAGATACAGCTGGACTCTGGGACTTCTTCAGCTCTCAGTGGTACCCTCTAGACACCTGGACACACCTCGATCTCTCTCACCTGTGTGTATCCTCAGGTGGACCTTGAGGTGATGGGAAGTCCGGAAAGTCTTCCCACAGTACGGGCAGTCCTTCATGGCCGAGCCCAGGTTCCTGTCCCGAAGCAGCGCCTGCTGCTGGACGCCGCCGGCTCTCCCGGCCTCCTCGCCGATGTCTGCAGTGGATGAGAAGCGTTCTCACATCACTTCAGCACATGTCAGAAGTTGTTCACACCAAAACTGCTAACACCACACAAAGTTAAACATGTCAATACTACACCTGTCTATTTCATTCTTTGAATCTGACAGAATGCTGACAATTCATGTATTTTCTTGTTATTCTCTTAAATTATTTCATCTTTCCTATCATCATTTTAAGCAGCATATGGTACCTTTATATTGAACTGAATTAAACAAGAGAAGAAACAGCTGTGTCAGCAGCTGGTTTGATTTCTTCTTTTTGCTTAGTTCCTATTAAATATTTTTTTTTCTAAAAGTTTAAAAATGTGGGCACTGGTGGAATTCGATTAATTTGTAATATAGGCTGACTGGAAAGTTCACTCTAGGATCAAAATCACATTTGCAGCTTAGCCAGTAACAAGGGGTGGGAGAAGTGTCTCGGCTGACTCCCCGAGACAAGCAGACACGCAGCTATTTCAGGACAGGAAAGAAAATTATCCCAAAGCGATCGCTGCTTCCTTGTAGAGTTGTATCCATCCCTGACTGGAGGAACAGCATGAAAGGGAGAAGAAAAAGGATGGAAATGCGGTTCCACAATTAGCCCATGATAAACACACAGTGACACATTCAAAGTCATGTGCAGAAGCTCAGCTTCCAAACTCCCATAAACTCAGAACACTGCATTTAAATCTCCGTGCCGTGACTTGAGAAGTCCCTCTGTAAAGTATCAATACAAATTTCCCAGCCTGCTGTTATTTGTTATGTAGCCCAAACCATTAGAAAGTGGAATAAAATTTACATACGGCTGCCTTTTGCACATAATGGTAGGACATTATAGTAAATAAAACTGAAAATATCTAGTGTTTGGGGTGTGCTATTGGAATACCCAGGGCCTGACATCATGGTACCATACAGGTGACATCTACAGAGTAGAGCAGACCTTGAGCATCTGTGCCTTTGAGGAGAGGAGGCAAGAGAATCATTTCTGAACTCACTTCTCAAGTCTCTGGCCTCCCCTCGGGCCTCCCCACAGAGCAGAGGCTGAAGCCGAACCCAGCTCCCCCACCGCCCCCAAGCCCAAGCTCCTGAGGCTGGAAGGGTCCCTGCCATAGCCTACCCTCTAGGCCTTGTGGTAAATCCCACTATGAGAACAAGGGAACCTTCTGAGATAATGAGCAGAGCTGTGAGTTCTGCTGAGCTGAGAATAAATAAGATTTGTACCTTCCAAGCAATGGAAAATGCAAATTGCTTTTATTCTGCGACATCCGTTGCTGGTGCTCTCTGCTAACGGCCGAAAGGGACAGACTTATAGACCATGAACGAGATGAAGGCAAACACACTTAATTCTTATTTGGATGTTGGCTCCCGGCGACTGTGAAAGCGCCCTGGCTTGGAACATCCTCTCTGCATTTGGACCATATGTGAGCAGATCACCACCCCAGAAAAGTACATTGAAGGCCTCCTTCTAATCCCATTCTCCTCAACTCCCCCTGTCACTGTTGGAAGATCCATTTGGAGTGTACAATTACTCAGAGGGTATTTTTTTTTCCTCATAATTTTTACAAACAGGAGGAGTAGGTTTACCCATATCCAGAACTCTTACCCAAAGCCTGTCAGCTCACTGAGCTCCAGATTTATAGGCATTCCAACAAACATAAGAAGCACCCAAAGATGACTTATGGGTAAGGATGGAAAGCTCAGATAGTGTGGCAAAGCTGGGTCACACAGGCCTCGCATGATGTCTCCCTGGTCAGTCATGAACTGTGAGTTGAGTCTACCCTGAGTTTTCCTTTTGCTATGGTGGAGGAAGAGCCTGGGGCCTTGTGTATGCTAGGCAGCCATGCCCCAGGTTCCTGCTTCCTTTTTTGTTTTGTTTAAGATTTATTTCTATCTTTTAATTGTACGTATTGTGTGCCTATACGGGGGGCCTCTGAATGTGTGAGTGAAGGTGCCTGTGAAGATCAGAAGAGAGCGAGGGAGACCCTGGGCCTAGAGGTGCAGGCGGCTGTGGGCTGCCTGACATGGGTACTGGGGATCAAGCTCAGGTCCTCTGCAAGAGCAGTATGTGCTTTAACTGATGAGCCATGTCTCCAAGCCTGTTTTATTTTTGCTGCTGTTTCTCTGCTTCTTTGTCTGTCTGTCTCTGTCTGTCTCTGTCTCTCTGTCTCGCTCTCTGGCTTTGAACTCACAATCTCCTGCCTCAGCCTTCTGAGTATTGGGGTGACAGGCCTGAACCACTGCTTGCAGTCCAGCTGAATTTGAACAGCACAAATATCCTCTCCTTCTCCTCATCCCTGTACCCTTCTCCCCCTTCCATAATATTTGCCCACTTTAATCACACAGACTTCCTTTTCCTGGGAAGTTTAAGTTTAAGAAATGATGATGAGCAGGATTGAAACTTTGCCAAGTACCACCTGGAGACAAACCAAGACACTGGACTCAAGTCTGGAGGCTAACGGCTGCCTTTTAAAAGCAGGACATGAGTGTCAGGCGGGAGTCTGGGAGGTGTAGACTTCTAAAGGCCTCTTGTCCCATGATCCACCCCATCAGCCTTTCCCAGCAAAGTCCAAGTGTGAAGGACATGGCAGTCATGGAATAAAAGCTTTGCACATAGTGAGGAAGGGCCTATTTCTACTGGAGCCTTTGGTGAGGACTTACTCTGAATATTCTAGATAAATATGGAAAGAGACAACACGCCACCCTGGAAGGCTTTACAGAAATTTCGATGACCTGTGCCTCACTATATGTCACTCTAAGTGATGGCCCGTATCTGTTTCTCTTTTATCTTTCTATCGTGGATATGTGTGGTCCAATAAAAGGAATAAATTTGTAAGATAAACAGCTTTCTTTGCAGATTTAAGAGTTTAATTTTCACTTTACAAAGAAACAGTTTTCTCTGGGAGGGCCAGCAGGCCTATGGCGTTTACTCTTAGACTAATCCTTCTAGAAAAACAAACTCTGAGCCACAATGAAGAGGAATGGTGGGTGGTCCCAGGAAGTGTCCAAAGAGTCGGGAAGCCAAGTGCAAGGAAGTCTGGGAAAACTCTGTAGTCTCTGCCCAATGCATACACACGGGGCCTTGTGGATAAATCCAGTCCAAACCAGTACTGGGACGGGTGCTAGTGAGCATGTACACACTAAGCTGCACTCAAGCCCAGGACCCAGGAGCCAATAGTTTTGGAAGACATGGGGCCCCGATGCTCACACAGCTCAGAGTACAGAATTGGTCATAATGTTCCTCTGCCTCACTGCTGGGATGCATCCTGTCACCAATCCTGTAATACCCCACCATCAGTGCATGAAGGGCAGCCAGGGTTTGGATGCAGACCCCTGAAACCTATCACTCCAGAAGCCTGATAAAATGGCCTCTGTGGTCACTTGTCAAATGGTTAGTGAGTTGTCAAATGGTTCACATTTTTAGAAGATATAAAAATATTATTTATGTATTTACTTTGTAGTGTGTCTGTGTGTGTGTGTGTGTGTGTGTGTGTGTGTGTGTGTGTGTGTATGTACCACAAAGCAGACACGAATACCAAAGCATGCCTATGACCGTTAGGGCACAGCATGCACGAGTTGATGAGTTAATCTCTCCTTTATACCTTGTGGGCCCTGGGTATCAAATCAGGCTGTCTAAACATTAGATGGAGCTCCAGGAGTCTATGGAAGAGTTGGGGGAAGGATTGAGGACCCCAAAGAGGATAGGAACTTCACAGGAAGGCCAACAGAGTCAACTAACCTGGAACCTTGGGGGTTCTTACAGACTGAGCCACCAACCAAAGAGCATACACACAGGCTGGACATAGCCCCCACCCCGCCACCCCACCCACATAGGTAGCCAGATATGCAGCTTGGTCTTCATGTGGGTCTCCCAACAACTGGGGGGGGGGGGCTATCCCTAAAGCTGTTGCCGCCTGTCTGTGGAGTATGTTTTCCTAACTGGGCTGCCTTGTCTGGCCTCAGTGGAGGAGGATGCACTTAGCAGTGTAGAGACTTGATGTGCCAGGGTAGGGGGATACCCAGAGGGAGTTCCACCCTCTCAGAGGAGAAGGAGGGGGGATAGGAAGAGGGATTGTGGGAGGTGGGGACTAAGAGGTGGACAGCAATTGGGATATAAAGTGAATTAAAACATCAGGCTGTCGGGCTCTGCATCAAGTGCCTTGACTCACTGAACCACATCTTGGCCCTTGTCCTTTATTTCCCTCTCCTTCAACTGCAGACTCTCCTTTCCCTCCTATAAAGCACTTCTCCAAGTGGACAAGAGGACAGGCTGACTTTGCCACCTGACCCTCTGTAATCCTCTGGCAAGGAGGGACATTCCTGTCTGCCCTCTAACATAACACACGAGAAACTGGCCTATGAACTCTGCATTGTTTCTCTGTGTTCCTGAATAACACAGGACCATCTTACCCAAAGCAGTGTTGTACACAGATGCTACAGATGCTGTGCTTGCTACCACCTCAGGATTTCAGAGACAGGTATGCAATGCCTTTGCTAGCTTTCCCTCGTGGCTACAAGCTGAAACTACTGGTTAGCACAAGGAGAGAGAACAATGGCATCTCAAGTTGTGTTTCGGTAATGTTATTTGGGGGTAAATGTCACTGAGTGACCTTCCTAATTTCATTTTCTTGAGGTCAGACTCCATGTGTCCTGCTTTCCATTTGCCTTGGTCATTCTAAGCCTCTGTGGGTTGGGTGAGGTCAGCCACCAAGGGTAGACAGTAAGCCGGGAAAAGATGCTCCTGCACCTGGGTACGACATCTTACTGTCCTCATTAACAGAACCATAACCGGAGTTCTGGAGAGCCAAGGCAGATAGATACTCAGCAAGCCTAGTTCTCCAACTCTAAAGTATAAGCACATAAAATATGAGAAGGGCCATCTGAGACTAGCCCTGAGGTTGGCTATCTGGTTATACAACAGACATGATATTTTTTTTTTTATCCATGAGCACCTTGTCCATGATACTCGAAACCTCACCCATAAATAATATATTTGGAA